CAGCCAACGTTGTCTTTTTATCTGCCGTGACATTGACGTTCCCTACGGGCTGTTGTCCAACTTTTCACACCCTTCCCTCGTTTTCTCACGTGTAACGCACAGTCCCGGGACAAATAGGCCGACTCGAGGAATCGCGTGTCCATCGTTGACGATCGCGCGAACCTCACGATCCTCCGGTGCCGGAAAATTTATGACGGAGGAGGACATCGTTGTTCCTGGGTGCCTCGAGTATTTTAAGCGTGCTGGCGCCAGTTTATCTTGTTGGCCCGGAAACTATTATGCGTCTCGAAACTCTGGCATATTAATGACATGCATATAAGCGTGACAGGATGGACATTGTGTATCTGTTTTTCACTTGTGATTAGACCGATTCATTTCGTAAAAGAATTATTCTGCTACCCACAAAATATTCAAATAAAATCACTGTTGTATCCACAATTGTATTAACACGATATATATTTATTGTTTAATAATTATATTGATACAAGGTGTATTTATCGTCCCAGAAATGAATAGTAGCCTGCAATATTTAAATATCGATAATGGTATTCCTTTCGAAGTATCGGCTTCGATTTTTCGAGGGTGAAACACTTTTGCATGCACGATCTAGTCGATAACAAGGTTATCGACGTGCGTCCAATTTTTTTTTCCGTTCGATTAAAACGTGCAGCAGAAATCGGGCGGGGCACTCGTTTCAGTGTCCGGCGCGGGTCCAATGGAAACCGGATTTACCAGTGGCGGCGTGGAAAAGTGATATGTCCAGGGCATTAGTGTCTTTGGGGCGCTCGATGCAATAGCAGCGTTAATTGGCACCTGGCAATCAGCTTTAATTAAAATTGCTTTTCTGCCGTCTGGCACAAAAAGCGATCCCTAACTGTCCGCGCGCCATCGTGCACGTTATTGTCGATCTGTCTCAATTTAAAAATGTTTCATGATTAATAGATCCTATGAATAAGTTTTTGTCCGCATATCTAATAATAAAATTTTTGTAATAAGATTTCCACTTCACCAGTTAAAGATTAAAAGTCATACTTCGTGATAATTCTACTTAGTTTTTAAACAATACTTTGCATATACAGATTGAGAATAAGTGTCCATTGTTCGTTTTACATGGGTACGAGCACACGACAATGACTTCACTCGTTCCATTGTTACTCTATGATTATTATGAATGATATCATTCATTCGAAGGAATTTGTAAACCTCGCCGATAAGTCAATTAAAACACAAAAGAAATAGAAGTGTGAGATTATCGTTTGCTTCTCCAGCGAAATCGATCGACACCGATGTCATTCGGAAAACAATGGACGCGTTGAAAATTTCATTAGTCGCGAGTGTATCGATAATTTCGTTACAATGAGGCATAATTGGCTCTCGTAGCGGGGTTCTCGACAGCCGTTGTCATGCGACACTCGCGAACAGTTCCTAAAAGGAAGTGCATTTTCGTAACGTAACAGCGTAATCGTGAACGCCGACTGTTTTGCGTAATAAGAGCCCCGTTAAGTTAACCGCCATTGACGAACCATTTCCGACCATTGAATAACGTGCCATCTCTCACTTGGACTGCTGAAGGTTATCCATCAATCGAGGCCCCCTCTACTTGTGGGAACATAAATATCGACAGTTCGCATTAATCAGGTTGATCCAAAAATAATTTCTATACTACAGAGACTTTCTGCACTGCCTAAAGTTCACTGGAATAAACAGTACGTATCCCTTATTTTTGACTGTTTAACGGACATACGAAGTTTCAAAATCGGAAGGAGACACTTCCGTGCTTTCTCCTGTTACTTTTTACTCTCACTGTATGTGTTATTCCCGTCGTAAGTTCGAGCAAAGTGAATTTAACCAGAAATTCCAGGCGAGAATGAGTCAGTCCCGTAGATTTGTCATCTGCAACGTTCGTTCTCGACCGCACCGAGGGTGCATTTGCACGCGAAATTAAGGGGAGGTTACGGGCCAGGAAGACGTAAGGTCTCCCTTTATGCGCCCTGGGAGCGGAGTGATCGAATTTACATTATTTCTTGCCACCGTCTAGACCCGAAGAATTTCCATATTTCTTGTCCCCTCCCCCATATCGATCCTATCCCGCGAGCCAGGCAAAGTGCTCGCCGAGACAGCCGGGAACGCTTTGAACATTGAAACGAGAGCGCCACGGAGCCGGGGCCACGGAAAGCTTCTTGGCTCTGTAAAAATGGATCCCGTCGCGAATCGTAATAAGGATGGAAAGAGGGTGGAAGAAGGTAAACACTCCGTTACGTTTTTTTTTTTCTTCTTCTATTCGCCCAGCTTCTTTCTTGCCTTTGAGCGCACCAGTCACGCTGTCTCCTTTGAGGACTCCAAATGCATAAAAGGTGAATGTCTTCTTTCGGGGCATTAAATGGAACTTCAAATCTGATTTGGTCACTTGTCGTGGATTCTTTTCTTCCGAGCTTTCTGTTGCTGTCAATGTTCGTTATTTTCATTTCCAGTGCTAAAACTGGGGGGTTCTTAGATACTTCTCCATTATAAGTAAGTAGAAGTTTATATAATCAATCTACTACCTTTGTATTAATCTCTAAAATGGCTCGCTCCATTTCTTAAAAATTCATCCAAAAAAATCGCGACAGGCCAAATGCCTCCATTCATACGATCAAGGACAAAGCACGAGCAAACTGATCTTCACCGGCACACGACACACAAGGCTCGCCCCAAAATCCAATTTAGGGCTCAAACAAACCCGAGCACCGGCTAAAAACCGATGCGTTTCGGGTCAACGGGTGCTGCTGCAGCCACACGCGATAATTGATACCGATTGCAGCCACGTGTTGGCAGGGACAGTTGATCCCTGCAGACACCACCACCATCGACAAACAGATCGGCCCCGTCATTCCCGTCACGCACCGGTCACCGACCGAATACGATCCCAACAAACGATCCCAACATGCAACACGCGTGCACGCGCCACTCGGTGACACCCCACCCTAGATCCGGAGGACGCTTCATCCCTCCAATTTGGCACCGCTTCCGTAAACCTTAGCTGTTACCCTCGGTGAAATAGCTCTTGCTTCTAATTTAATTTCTTACAATCGATAGTAATTAATATTTATTAACACTAAACCTACCACGATCGGTCAAATGACCGGTGTTGCTATTAATTCAATAGTAGCTACAAGATCTCGAGGGTTTAAATTGTTTCATTGCATATCTGGACATCTGTAAATTGTATACGCCTAACAACACGCAAAACTGACACAAATTCTATCAATTATCTAATTCTAGATTTAACGTGACAGATCCACGAGCTCTTCCAAGAATTAACGATGTTATGGTGGTGAACATGACGAAACGCGTTGTCTGGACGCCGCGTGCTGACTGAGGAGCCGTGACAGAGCCAATCGTCACGCTACGGGTATACAGGAGTCACGTGGGTGGAAAATAATAGCTATTTATATCGGCGTTATCGCCCACCGCTTGCTTCCGCTTGGCGTTTAATGCTCTCTCTCTCTACTCGTCGCGGTCTTCCGCTTTGCATTTCACTTTCCTTCTCTTTCTCCCTGACTGCCCACTCTCGTGCCGTTGTCGGGTCAGATAAGAGGACGTCTGATTCCGTAGAAGATGCATGACCACGGTCATTGATGCCGTGTCAATGTCATCGTGATAACCGTTGCCTTTAAACCGCGTCACAACTATTTACCAACGTCCCAGGCCCCAGTTTCAAGGGCCCGATGTAAGCCTTCCGTTTATGTAAAAAAAATAATTGAATGAAATTTTGTTTACTGTTTCCCTTTTGAAATAATTAAAAATAAACCTCTCTCCATTCCCTATCATCCCTTAAAACCATTCACAATGGAACAAAGTTATTCGACGAAAGGAACAGTGGAGCTATTTAAACAGCCCAGCAATCACATTCACCATTTTTTTCTTTCGGTCAACAAGAGTATCGGGATGCGGTAATCACGCTTTCGAAATTAATCCGTCAATTGGCGCGTCACCCATGGGACAGACCGGTGGTTTCATCCCCCTTGTGCAACGGAAGAGAAAAGAAGCTTACATCGCGTATCGCTCCCTCAGTTTTGTCCTCACCCCACCGTCCGTTACCAGGCTTAATATTGCTGGTAATATTCGAGGGTATGAAGGCTGGGGCTGGCCTGAAATTCTGCTACTTCCATCCCCCCTACCTCTGTATGCTTAACGATAACACACGTGGTTCCAGGCAAATAATATAGTGTACGTGTCCGGAATGGGGATGTGTACCAGCAATGGATAATATATACCCGCTGCAGGCTATGCATCCCCTATTTTCCTGGAGGGATTTACGGGGGATAGATTTATCAATTAGCGTGTTTCCTTGTCGCCCGGTCAGGATGAGAATCGTGTGCTTTCTGCTGGTCCTGAATGACCATTCACGAATATCGTATATTTCATGACATTAAAATGTAATCTAATTATAAAATCCAAATCACAATTACAATTATATTGTAATTACCTATACTAAATTTACAATAAAAATTACAATTTAACTGTAATTGTGCAATTACGTTGCAATTCTATTGTACGTAATTCACTGGTCCGTATTAATGAGCCCAGCCCTATCAGTGTACATTGATTAGTATATTTAACACGTTAAGCCTCGCGTCAGTCGGTGACTTTTTCGCTAAATTTTTCGAGTAACTACAATTGCACTAAAAAATGAAATACACAAGAACGGAACTTGCTCGTAGTTAAATTCTGAACCAGAAATCCGTTTACCGCCATTACCAACGACATCTTCCATTGTTTGAACACGTCCAAAATATATCGAAACTGACATACGAATTAACTATGTCCGAGCAAACGACATCCAACCAGGAAACCGTCGATCCAGCCACGGATATGTGTAGCCCACAAATTTGTCGTGAAAAGAGGAATTCGAACGCGAAAAAGAAACAGAACGGGGACGACAAGGTTATCAAGTTCCGCTGTGACTTTCCCTCGACGCAGGTTAAGGTGATGCTGGCGAGAGGCTGGATACAGGTAATGGAATGTCCCTTATTCATGGCGCCGTGAGATTAACGAAGAGACCAGAATGCAAGAGGGGGAGTCAAACGAGTCTCTGGGATATATCCCCTTATGGCACCTCTGTCGAACAAAACCGTGTTAAACGTAGCCCCTCCTCTCACCCCTCGTCCAAAGGTGTGTGAAAGAACCTGGGCCACGATTATGCGAAAATCCGCATTGTCTACCAGAGAACCTTGATCCTAGATCGTGAATAGAATGCGTCCGCTGGTGTGGGAAAACAGGTTTAATTTCGCCGATGGAAATTGGGTTCTTTCAGGCGGGGGCTCTTTAGATACCTGAAGCTGGCCTCTCGCTTTCGAGTGTGTATTTGGATTTAACGGAGGCACCATTCAGCCTGGACTTCAACACGTAATCGCTACGCTGTGAATGTTCATGCAAATCCACGTGTTTCTGGATTAATCACCGCAGGAGTAGAAATTAAACAGAGATTGGGTGGCGTTGAAAGACCTAAAATCGGACAGGAATGATGTGTATTTGGAGGGTGCAAACGTTCTGATGAATTTACCGAGAGTGATATGATTATGGTTTGGAAACAATAACCAATTGTGTTGCTATATCGTATGTCGATGTGACGCAGTAAATCGTATGTTATATAAGAATCATTATAAAATAAAATTTTTATTAATATACTCTTTTAGAGGAAAATCCCTCAAAACTTTTGCACTCGCCTAATATTTAGATAGTGAAATATAACTTTGTAATATACATCCGATTTGGTAGTGTATCATTTAGAAGCTACTCCAACGTGCTTTATAAATACCAGGAAACTAAAGATACTATTACTTTTAAATAACTGAACTTCGCTGTAACTTACAGTTCAATTTCAGTTTTAGATACATTTCTACTTAACATATACTATCTATGGCCCCCGACGTATCGATCCGATCCCCTCCACCTCCGATATCTCATAAATACACTATCGGATAATTCAACGACTTTTATACATACAGGGTGAACCACGTATAGTCGGCCGGTATCTCGCCACAGGGTCGTAAATATATTAAATAACCCCCCCGTTGGCTAATTAATTATGCAACATCTCCATCTGTAACCGTTCGCAAGGTCACCGATCCTAACGACCTCGGCTGGCATCTCTGGTGGTGCGAGACCAACGACGCTCGCCAGGTCCTGGATTCGAAGCTCGCGCCACACCAAAAAATCCCTCACTTCCGTAACCACTACGAGCTGACCCGCAAGAACTACCTCCACCGTAACCTGAAACGTTACAAGAAATCGCTGCTGAAGTCGAACAAGACCGCGGAGGCCGAGTTCTGCGACTCGATGCCGTTGACCTTCGAGCTGCCCAACGACTACAGGCTGTTCACCGAGGAGTATCACAAGCAACCTGGAGCCACGTGGATCGTGAAACCGGCTGGGAGATCGCAGGGCCGAGGGATCTTTCTGTTCAGGAAGCTGAAGGACCTGACCGAGTGGAGAACGAAAGAGTTCAACTTCCAGCAGCTGGAGACGCCTGTCGAGACGTTTATCGTACAGAAATATGTGGAGAATCCTTACCTACTGGCAGGTTTGTAGCTGCGCAAGCCTCCGCAGAGGCGTTTATCAACACCACCGCGAATAATGTTGCTGGATGCTTGAATACCTCCGAAAGACGCTGGGGCTGGTGGCTTTTGTAGCCGCGCGTCGACAGAAATACGAAAAGAGGCTTGGAATTGTCGAATGATTCAAAAGCACTTTCTTCGAGGGGCTTGGCTCAGGCTAGGGATGCTCCAGTGGGGCGAGAAGCCCGTTTCTTCGCTAGAAAACGGGGCCGAATGTTTGTAAACGTTCCCAAAAACCCGTCTTCCCCGATCGGTTTCAGGGAGGAAGTTCGATCTACGTATTTACGGCCTGGTAACCTCGTTCCATCCTTTGAAGGCCTGGCTGGCTAGAGAGGGATTCGCGCGATTATCCACAGAGCTGTTCGATCTGGAGAATATCGACGATAGCAGGGTCCATTTAACGAACATTGCTATACAGCTGAAGACCGACGGGAATGAGAAAAAGGAGCTACAGAAAGGGTGCAAGTGGGCGTTGGTTAAAGTCAGGGAGTATCTGACCGCTCGGCACGGGGTGGAAGCTATTGAAACTCTGTTCCAACGAATTGCGGGTTAGTTTAATTTCGAGGAATATTAGATACTGAGATATTTGTTCATATAACACCGAACCCTGTAACACTGATTCCTACAACAGTGGTTCTTACAACACAGGGAAAGTTACCTAGAAGTTAAATTAGTTTTTACAAAATAACGGTTGGAGATTGTAGGCCTCGACCTTTGAACATCTGAAATAACATTTAACTTCACTTCTTATCAGTTCGAGTCCTACTTCCAACTATACTATTTTTTCAAACGTAACATCTGAGCAACTTCCATTATACGAAAAACTTCGTGTTTAGGTGTGATAATGGCCAGTTTGCTGGCGGTACAACCGGTGATAATGCAAGGGAAGAACTCCTTCGAGTTGTACGGCTATGATATATTGCTCGACGAGGATCTGAAACCGTGGTTGCTCGAGGTGAACGCGTCCCCGGCTTTAACCGGCACCGATAGCGAGGATTATCGACTGAAGTTCGATCTCATCGACGACACCCTGAACGTTCTCGACATCGAGGGTCGTTTCTCCGGCTGGGAGACCAGGATCGGCGGTTTCGATCTGCTGTGGAACGACGGCCCTGTGTGGACCACTTGTCCTAATCCCTCGATCTGCGGCGAACCGCCGAACGACCTCAGAAAACTCAACATTTTCCTCGGCGCTCGTAACCAACGCGTCAAACAGTTACGTCAGCTACGGGATTGTTTGCGCGAAAGACGCAATAAAACGCGGAACGGTAGCTACAGAGGAGACTGGTAACTCGAACGAGGTGTTTAACACGTTGAGTGTCGAGTGTACGAAATTTGGTACATGGTGAGTCTTATTTGTGTGTAGAACAAGCCGGACAATAATCGAGAAGACTCGATCGAAATCCCATGTTTGTTGTTCGATTTTATTTCATCGTGGCAACGTGGCAACACCGGTTGCAGGGTACCAACTGGCTGAAACTAACGAGCAAGAATTCGCTCGAAGCAGACATGCATATTCATACGCGTCCATACCCGGCGCAATCCTACGCTCACGATTTCGTTCCACTTCCGTGAACCCAATTTTTCCGATCTGTAATGCGAATTTCCCGAGAATCAACGAGTTCGCGATCTTTGTACCGTAACGCGGATCGTTCAAGTTCATTCTCTATTGACGTTACGGTAATGATTGGAGTCGGTGATCTAAGACCTGGTTCTACCGTTCAATTGGTCGAATGATTTATTGGTACTTAGAATACTTTCACGGTAATATGATGGTCGGCGCAGTTTGATTGAATTGGCGAGACGCTGAAAGAACAGTTCTCCCGTTGAGCGTTTGTGGTTACGTATTAGCAAAACAGTGATGTACAACAAATTGTTGTATAACCTTGCTACACAACATACTTTCATAACTTGTTGACTATACCTTTCAGACAAATCTGTAACAAGTTTGTATAACATTTCGCGTCTCATTATTAATAATAGCGTCACACTAAATGGATAACATATAACTTGCTACATAACACGAAAAATGTTATGTAACATCACGTTATATAACATTTTTTTTTTTTCTATTGTTCTAACAAGTTTTATAACTTTACTATTATAACACGTCATGTTATATAGTGTAGACGCAGCTTTACAGTGTTGCCCTCACCCCCCCTCAAGTGGGGCAGTTTTATTTCTCCCCTGATTACGACGATAAAGAAATCCCAAAGAAACAGTTTTTCACGGCTCGGAAAATTTTGTTCGTTCGGCCTCGGAGCTCTCAGAGCACGGAGCGAACTTAAATCTTCGTGAAACCGTGTCGCGAGCACGAGAAGAATGGAGGAAGGGGTGGGCAATGTACTCTCGCTTTTACGCGCGGCTCCTCCTCGTCGTCGTCGTCGTTTTCTCGTGTCTCTTTTTCACCGAGAGAGGGGGGCTAAATTTAGCGAAAGAGTCGTATAACTTCGTAAGCAGCCCTCGTATTATCCTGATTCTTCCAGGCAAGAGCGAGTAAACTCGTTAAAATGTTACTTCACGATTGTCATTTCCTCTCCACCCCCGTAGTCGCGTAACTCGTCCCTTTTTACTGCGAATCATCGCTCTGGTACAACGGTCTTCCGTGAATCATCTCTGTCTTTGCTACGATTTTTAAATTGAAAATTGAAACACGTTTTGGAAATGTGGGACCGATAAAACTAGGACAGTGCGTATGAATTATTCAACGTATTAACACATTACTTACAGACTGCTATTTAACCCTTTCAACAAAGAAGTTGTAGGTTTGTGTATATTACACGACATGTACATGAGTATGACACTCATGTTGTTTTTTAATGTCTGTTTAATATCGTTGCCATTTGACAACTTTTTCTACTTGTATTGTCAAACTCGACAAAAAACAAGCTTCGTCAACAGTCTTAATTTTAAATAAAAATCGTGCATAGGGTTTTCGTAGCCACTGAAAAATTCCTTCGATTGGATATAAAAATACCATCACGTATAAAAATGGCTACTCGCGGATAGATGAACCGTGAGCCGCCGTCGAACATGTTCATCGACATTTCCGATAACGTATATAGGAAGAGACCGCATCGACTGCAGGGAATCTTGTGACACGGGCACAGGAATCCTATGAATCCGGTATTCCAATCCTCTGATCTTGTTATCAATGTGCACGACGATGAATCCGTGACAGATACGGTAAAACGTGTGCTCGAATCGGGGACAGGGATGAAATCGAGAAATGAGTCCATCTAACTTCCGGCTAGGTGAAAAATTTCGAACGATAAAGTATTCCCTTACTTTTTGGTAAATAAAAATATTGTTTACATCTACTAATAACATCATGAAATAAGTAATTAACCTTTCATTCGATATTTATGTTTCCCAAGTATTATACAGTATTCCCTCTTTATAGATTCACCATTTAGGACTTGTGACTTGAGTACAAAAGGTAATGAAGAAAAAGAAATTTTGTTTGATTACGACACACGTGGAACGAAGGACGAAATATGGCGTCCACGTTTGCATAGAGGAGCAAATAATCATCTATCCGAGAAGATATAGATCGTCGACGCACTGCGCAAAAATAATGAATAATTAAACGGTAATTAGAGCACCGAAAGAAAAACGACGGCCGTGTATCCCGGTATAGGCTGTTTGACATCGATAATTCGATTGCCAATTAAAGCTCAATTATTACCGTTTGCGCGTAGCAACGGCCGCTTAATCACATAATGAAACGTGTGGATTATTGAACGATGGCCAATTACAGTAATTTTACGCCGATACAAACAGATATTTTCGAATGCTCGGTTAAATACATTCGCAAGGTGTATCGAAACTTAACACTGTCTACGAATCTGATTACGTTTAGACTTACTGATCTGATGTTTACGTCGAGATGACGTAATTGTTAGTTTTTCAAGTATAATAAATAATCTACAATGCAACCGTGGTTCAATTTGAGTCGGTATCATTTACGTTCAAGTGCAGCTAATTTTGACCTCGAAGTAGCAAACCAGACACAGCTGATTTTATATTTAACCTTCGAGATCCCAGGCTGATCGACCATTTCCACACTTCCGGGTAATCGTACCGGACCTTCCACAGCCATTTTTATACGTTACATAAACTTTTTTTAAAATCTCGCGAAAGCAAGATTTTAAAATCGGATCGGTCCGTATATTATAACGAAAACCATGGTGAACTCTGATATTCCGATGGAACGCATAAAGCCGCAGCGAAAGGAATTGATCGGCGGCAATTTGTACGTGTTTCAGTGCAACGGCTTTCACTTTAAGTAAAAGGCAGGTCCGCTTTATAATTTTATACCGGCTCGATGAAACGTGCGTACACATAACACCGTGGCTATTTTTACGGTTACGCAACGTAATCGGTATTCAATGAACTGCAAATTCCCCCGGCCAATAGGCTAATCATCATAAATACACTTCTCCGTGTTTTGAATTGTAAATCACGTCAATCCTTCATGGACCATGAGACACAGGTGCCGTTGGCTTTCTGAATTCGTTCATTATTCACGTTCCAGCTGCCGGAACAATTAGGGGGATCACTTATTTACCTCGTGGTGATCCATATTGTCGAAGTTAACGTTCTAGAAAAAGGTCAGTGAAATCGTCGGTGAACATTTAATGGGCTGACTGCAAAAGCAACGTCCATAGATATTCCATACAGTAATATCTCGACGAGTGCGACCTATTCACAAGGGAAGGCACGGAAGTGTCTCTCTCCGATTTTGACGAAACTTCGTATGTCTGTTAAGCAATCAAAAATAAGGTCTAAACAAGCTCAAGTCATTCCTTCAGACAATGAATCCAACGTTTACAGGTAGCTGATTACGAGTATCCATAACTCTGTGAAATTCCCAAGTGAAACAAAGGCTCTGCAAATCGCGTAATTATGGAAGCAATCTACGATCTAAGCGGCCTGAGACCTTCGTCGGTTCAATGAAGTGAAATCTGGCTGCGATCATCAGGTCTAGATTATCCAAGCTCTGTTTGTCCCGGTCCCACCTGGACCAGCGTTAGTAATATGGAAAAACTGAGCTTTCTAGATATTCTTTTCTACTCGCAAAGGTGGCCTAAGCACAGGTAATTGCAAAGTAAAGCTCGGTCCGCAGAGTCTCCTCTCTCTGCTAGAGTATCGCCATAGGGTATACCCAACTCCGTCTGCTCCCACTTTTTACCCGGTAGCGACGAGGGTTGGCCTTAACGTCCTTAACCCATTTCCCGGCAGCGTTACGTTAACGCAACATAATGGTTTAGCTTCCTCTCTACCACCCCCCCTCTCCCTCGTATCCGTTCCCCCGCGCCGAGCTCGCTAGGCCCCGGCGTCATTCGTTAAACCGCAGCGGAACGTTAACGATGCCCTCTTTCCACCGATAAAGTGGTGCCAGCGTCGCGCTGATCCTTAATTAATACTTTTCCTCACAGCCTCATTATCACGTTCGATCGCTCGACGGACATAAGAGGCTCGTGAAAGAGAACCGTCGCCCGAGGGAAACCCGGGAAATCCATTTGACCAGTCGCCATCCGCTTACCAACGCGTTTCCGGTTTGCACGGTGATATTCCGCCGAGTGGTACCGAGATGAACGTGCCAATATTTTTGGGATTAACCATGAATTTATGGGTAATACTCTACGTAACACATTTGCGTTCGAAACAAATATTGACTGATGGATGAAAGTAAAGACATAAATAAATAAAAATAAAGGTGATAATGGTTGGTGATGCAGGCCAATCGTCGACAGCTGCAGGAACATTCAATTCCTGCATGCGAATGGTTTGAAAAGTTTGAAAAATATTGCAAAGTCCGAGTCATTTGTAGGCTAGTCTAAGATAGCGTATCATTGACATTCTATTCTTACACAAAGGAACACTTCTTATTCTGTGTCAAGTTTCTACTTTCAACATCTCAGAAATGCTTCCCGCGTTCCTAAAGAGACGTCCAAGGAACCTTCTGTTCCAAGCTTGGGGAATTCTGAATCGAATTTCATTTCTTTTCGATTCTCTGTCAATTAAACCTCATTCGATTCCACCAACGAGAAGAATGCCGTCCCTAGTTCCATAGTTCTATGAGTGAAGCATCAGACGTCTCGGGAAGTAACGGAGATTAGCTGCACCCCACGGAGCAGTCGATTCTTATCGGCAAGTATCGAAGGGACTCGAGGTTGCTGAGACCCCCAGACGACGCTGAGAAGACGGTTATCGTCGTGTGATGTTCCCTCAGGTGCCAAAGTACCCTTCATCTTCCAGACCCTACTGCGGATATAAGTATAAATC